TATTATTATTATTATTATTATTATTATTATTATTATTATTATTATTATTATTATTATTATTATTATTATTATTATTATTATTATTATTTATTTATTTATTTATAATAATATTTTACACCATTATTGTTATAGTTTAATCATTTTGAACATCAACATCATTTTATTTAGGAAATAAACAAATGAAATATATTTATTGCTATATTAATAATAATAATAATAATAATAATAATAATAATAATAATAATAATAATCTAACAACAAAAATCAATCAATCAAATTATTATTATTATTATTATTATTATTATTATTTTACACCATTAATGTTATTTTTTACACCATTTTATTTTAAAAATAGATCATTGTAATATATTTATAGCAATAATAATAATAATAATCTAACAACATAAAATTAATTAATGAATATTTATTTATTTATTTATAAATACATTTTTAAAGTTTCTCATTGTTTTTTAAAGTTTTTTAAGTTTCTTGTTGGCTGAATCAACTTATACTTCATCTGTAAACATGCGGTGGAACTGGTAAAATACAAACCAATTCTCAGTCTAAAAGAACCACTAAAGATCCTACAAGAAAAAGCTGAGGATTCTAAAAACATCTCCAGCACGAAAACCCAACAATAAGATGAGTGTGTGATGATGCTTGTCTCCTGGTGTGTGCTTTGATGTGTGTGTGTTCAGCATGTCTGCGAGTCTTCAATAAATCACAGTGCAACATGAAGCTGTGATGTCCTCGGCGTGGCTGGACTTGTCTCGGTCTGAGATTTTTTCCTCTGTCTGGAGTTTTGTGGATCTCCGAGTCGCAGGGAGTCCTGGCTTCCCTCTGAACTGATTAAACTTTTCTCATGACTAATGTCTCTCATAAGCTCTGCTCACTTCTGTGTGAAGTCTCCCTCTGGGCACATCGGCTCTGTTAGCGGCTCATTTTCTGCTGTTTTTTTATGTTATATATGCATCAGGGAACATTCATCTTTTAGATTACCAACAGACACTGCTGTGATTTGTGAAGCAGTGAGTTTAGGTGCGGCGGCATGGTGTCTCAGTGGTTAGCACTGTCGCATCACAACAAGAAGGTCGCTGGTTTGAGTCCCTGTTAGGTCAGTTGGCATTTCTGTGTGGAGTTTGCAAGTTCCCCTCCGGATGCTCTGGTTTCCCCCACAGTCCAAACACATGCGCTGTAGGGGAATTGGATGAACTAAATTTGCCGTAGTGTATGAGTGTGTGTGAATGAGTGTGTATGGGTGTTTCCCAGTACTGGGTTGTGGCTCGAAGGGCATCCGCTGCGTAAAACATATGCTGGAATATTTGGCCGTTCATTCCGCTGTGGTGACCCCTGATGAATAAGGGACCTAGCCAAAGGAAAATGAATGAATGATGAATGAGTTTAGTTGCAGTTTTCCCTTCTAGAACAAGGACACTTGTGGGCGGGGCTTGATTTTATCCATGGGGAATCGATTGAGTTGTTGTAGTTTTCTATTTGAGATCTTGTGTGATTGACAGGTTTCAAATTTTGATTTTATTTGTCACAAACAAAGTAATTTGCTGTACAATATGCAGTGAAATGCTTATACAATCGTCCGTGATTATAAAAAAAAACTAAGTGAAAGTGAAAACACAGACAATTTTAGATATAGAAATAGATGTTGTAACTATAAGATAGGATCAAATATAAAATTTTTAAAACTTTACATATGGAGAAAATAACTATAGAAAATAGAGCAAAATATAAAATAAAGTTAAATAAAATTTTATTAAAACAAAATAAAATAAATGAATGAAAAAGAATTAACACTAAATAAATAAATAAATAAAATAAAATAAATAAATTAGAATAAAATAAAATTAAATTAAATTTATTAATAAAATTAAAATAAATACATAAATAAATAATTAAAAATGAATAAATAAATTAAAAATAAAAAATAAAAAATAAAATAATGAAATAAAAAATAAAAAATAAAATAAATAAATAAAAATAATAAAAATCTAAATAAATGAATAAATAAGAATAAAATTTAATTTAAT